CTCAGCGGATCCCATGTACAGAGGGTGAAGCAGAGGGGGAGAAATCTCGCAGTCGACAATTATCTGTACGCCTATTTTGGTACCATCAATGTTCGAGCTTTAACATCGGATGCCAAGATTGACCACCTCATTGGCGAGCTCGACAAATGTAGCATCGACATCTGTTGTTTGCAGGAGACTAGAAGGCGCGCACCCGGCTCGTGGACGTGGGGGTCCGGGCACGAGGTGCATCTCGGTGCTGGAGCAAGCAATGGAAAAGTGGGCGGAGTGGGCTTTGTCATCAGCCCCCGCATGACGCCCAGAGTGGTATCGTGCGAAATAAGATTAGAGGGACTGGCACTTCTTCAAGTGCAGATCGATGACCGAACACTGATCCTCGTGGTGAACGTGACGCTCCTCCTACGATGACGCTGTTGTCGAAGACGAATTTCAGAAGCCATCCGCACAAAACCCCGTGGCGCCAGAGTTATCGTCGCCGGACGATTTCAATGGTGTCACCGGGTGCGGCCGTCCCGGCGAGTGCTTCGTCGGTCCGTACGGTCGTGGAGACCGCAACCCTCGGGGGGAGGTCTTAGCCGAGTTCGCTGAGCGGGAGAGGCTATTTGTAACCAACACCTTCTTCCAGAAGCGACAGGGGCGGCGGTGGACCTGGCGCAGTCCCAATGGGATAGGTAAACACACGCTGGACCATATCCTAGCCGGGAGCCTCAGGTACTTCGACGACGTGACGGTCATCAGCGAGTCGCGGTTCAATATCGGGTCCGACCACAGGTTGCTCAGGGCAACGTTCAAAATAAGCGGAAAATTGGAGCGGCGGCTCAGGGCAATAGCCCAGCAGTCTAACATCAAGACGAAGGTCAATTCTGACATCGTCCGACTGCTAGCCCCCACGGTGTGCAAACCCACTAGAATATTCGCCACCGTTGACGACGAGTACGCAAACCTGTTGGCCGAGGTTGACCGCGTCGTTACAAAGGCCACAACACGCGTCACCTCTGAACCGCGACCGCGTCTGACTCCCGAGACATTAGAGCTGCTGAGGACGAGGAAAGCTAAAGTTGCTAGTATGAGCCACATCGAAAAAACCGTCCTTAATAAAGAAATCCGTGCCCGGGTAGAGCATGATTACAAGGAATACGCCGCCCGCAGAGCATGCGAAGCAGCCGAAGAATTGACAAGCGTCAAAAGGGCCTATCGGGAGATCAGACTGAAGACCACTTGCCCCGATTCTCTGGCCAGGCCTGACGGTACCGTAACATACAGCCAAGAGGAGATGGCCGAGCTGATTTGCAACTTTTACAGCAACCTCTTTGGCAGTCAGGTAAAGGTGGAGCCTACCGAGAAACGATGTGACGGATCAGACGAAGGCATCCACCGATCATACGAGAAGTGCTAGCTGCTTTCAGCCAGATGAAGAAGGGCAAGGCACCGGGAGATTGTGTGAGAGTGCAGAGGCTCTCCATACTG